TTGTATTCGGCTCCGAACTTGTTGAAAACTGACGAAGATACACGTGATTTCTCGAAACCCTGCACCCTGGTCACGTGTTGGCGATATGTCCACAGCAGATATGTTGAGAGCAGGTGTATTGTCCATTAGCCCACTAACGAGGACATTTTCATTGGTGAACATGCATGAAAAACTCCCAAGACTATGCAGGTCTTCGACATTCACGACTTTATAAGCAGCCACATTCATCGGTTTGGGGCAGACAAAATAAGGGGTTAATATGTGATTCGAACCCCGATAAGAGAAACAAAGCAGGCAACTCTGCAAGCAAATTGTGGCCCCTTAGCAAATTGGGTCAGATGTGTAGAACGCTGATGTGGCAGTAAGTTACAACTATTATTATTCCACAGAGCTCAAGAAACACAGCAGATATATTGAGAGCAGGTGTATTGTCCATTAGCCCACTGACCTCATTCCTCGACACAAGTTCGTGTGTAGGACACTTAATGATGACGAGCAGATCTAAGACACAAAGTAAATAATGTCGTCATTACTATGGCATTCAAGCACTTTAATCTTCGAACAAGGGCCATATTGTGGAGATACAGTAAACAGACAGGCTTTTGTTTGACCTGATTGTAACCGAACACGTCTTGTACAGATAGCTTCCATGACAATTATCATTCATACTTACAATAACCAATTTTAGAACCCTACAGGGAATCCTAGTTTATAAGTATAGCTCGTCTCACCGAAAGCCAGAGTTCGAGTCCCAATACATGCTTGTATTTGGGGCGACCAAAGCAACTTAATGGGTCGTGTGGTCAGGATCGGCGTTATCATACCCATAGGTCGAGGACTTTGCTCATGATCGTAAATATCACATAATATTTACAAGCCACTGTGGTATAGTTGCAATATTGCCGAGAGTGACGTTAACCAATCAACCAACAAGCAAACAATAAGGGTTCACTGAAGTTTACTTATTTTGTGGAGTATCGCCCAAACAAACAAATGCACATGACATTGTTTGTTGACCATAGTCGCTTGGTACGCTGAATTTGGGGAAAGAAAGCTGAAACTGTATGTCTAACGATGACATTTTTATTGGTGAACATGCATGAAAACTCCCAAGACTATGCAGGTCTTCGACATTCACGACTTTATAAGCGGCCACATTCATCGGTTTGGGGCAGACAAAATAAGGGGTTAATATGTGATTCGAACCCCGATAAGTGAATCAAAGCAGGCAACTCTGCAAGCAAATTGTGGCCCCTTAGCAAACTGGGTCAGATGTGTAGAACGCTGATGTGGCAGTAAGTTACAACTATTATTATTCCACAGAGCTCAAGAAACAAGGTACTAGAAAAAAGTCTTTCGCAACCCATGCTTGTCGTTAAAGACTACCATGCTTTTCGTAAGGGGCGACTGACGGGTTTAAAGTCCAATCGGAATTCTCAGAGCACGTTTTAGAACTACAAGGTTGTGATCATTCATACAAAAGTTCCACTGGGATATGGAAAACGCAGCAACGACAACGTATCACATCATCACAATGCGAAACAACGGACTGTATGTTATACATCATAACACGTGGTGCTGTATATTCAATTTCAGTAACGGGCAAATACGACATTTTCAACAAGGTTGAGCTACAAGAGATCTGCTTAACTGAACTACAGGTGTGGTACAGAATAGCATTTGTTTGTTGTTGTTAAAAGCCACGCTCAACAATATTCCGGCTATATGGGGTTCTGTAAATAATAGAAATTGGACCAGACAATCCAGTTATTGACATCATAAGCATCGATCCACGCATTTAGGAGAGCGGAAGGTCCGGGGTTCGATCCCCGACCGCATCATACCAGACGCCACTTGTTGTTACCCTGCCTGGCGCATGTCATTAAGGGGGTCAAACAAGGATTGGTCGGCTCAGAGTCAGTAAACTGTCTGAGTGGGGTAAATTACAAGCACACACACACACACACACACACACACACACACACACACACACACACACACACACACACACACACACACACACACACGTCACACACACACACACTCACACAGACAGACACACACACTCACACACACACTCACACACACTCACACACACAAACCGTGCAGTAAGTTACATGCGAGCTACACGCGAGCTACACGCGAGCTCCACATCTGCATTATGCTACAGATCAGAAAGAGAAGCAGGTTTAATGTCGTATCAGAATTCTATGAGCAACGTTTGGAGACAACATGGCTGAGATCACTCATTCACGGTCCATCCAATCTCATTAAAATCAGATCTTAGTTCCCGCTATCGCTAAACAAAGATCTGAGGACATCCCATTACGGTTCACGTCAGAGCGACCTTTCATCCGACCAATCAAAGTGTCGCTTACCAAATCATGAAAGTGACAAGTGGCATGTGTTTTCTGATCATGCAACCTCGAAAACGTTAACACGGGTTATTCCGAACGACAGTTACGGCCCTAGACTAACATTTAGTCTCTGAAATTTTATATTACACAATATCCTTCTTGACTCTAAAAATAAAAAAAAATCCCTATGCTGATTTCAGAGTGTGGAATAGAGCTAGCTTGAACTGGCTAGACTTGCTTTTGTATGCATTTCTGGATTATTATTTTTTCATAAAATAAATATATTCCACGGTCATGGTGCAGGACTATTACGGCCCCTACGACTGATTCCGTCAGAATTATCGTCTATTTCTCGCTTCCATGGGATAAACAGTTTCACAGTACGTGGGAAGCACTGCTACACACTCGCAACCATATATTAGACATTCAGTTTTCAAAATTTTAATCGAGAACTGTGTCAGCATATTTTTCAAGCATAGTCTGAAATGGAAGTCGCCAGGTTGAAACGAGTGCCGTAAAGCTCGAGAAAGCTGCTTTCTAATTGGCTGATGTCGACTTCTTGTTGGTCGTTTCACTGATCGATCAGAGTTCGCTAAAGGTCGTACTGACTTGACCCGTAATAGGATGTCCTCAGATCTCTGTTTAGAGATTGCGGTCCATCGGTCGTGAAGTTGTATAAGAGATGTCGAAAATATAAACGTTAACGACCGACCGACGGACAGCCAGACCCATCTTTCAGTCACCATCTGTCATCGTAAGTAAATGAATGTCAGAAGACACAGCAATATCTTGACAATATGTCGGCGGCTTGTAAATAAGGAATCAGGACCAGGCAAACTCATGACCGAAATAATTTTAAAAGCGATCGATGCCATGGTGACATATCCCCGAGCTTGACTAACAGATTCCCATTCTAAATAGCTCTTGCGAGATGTCCCTTGGGACCTATTCTGAGCCGGAATGTCCAAAAGCTACACTACAGGGAGACAGCCCTAGTATCTCGGTTATGAATGCAACACAGTGGCTCCTCTTAACCTCGAATGGATAGAAGTAGCTATCATTAAGGTTTGCACAAACACTGTGCAGTCCTTTAATGTACATCTTCAAGTTACATTGCCCCAGGCCCTTCTCCGTGGGTTACGTGGAGACCTCCTGACCCATCACTTGGGGAAACTATATCGGATAATGAAAGCTCTCGTTGCTGGGTCAACCTGCGGCTGAACAGCTATAGGTGATTAGCGTCACAATACAAGGCGGGGTATATCGGGGTCATTACGCAAACGTTCAGACATGTATGCAAGCTATCTGTACATAATACAGTCAGCTACATGTTTCTGCACAGGAAGGATGTCATTAACCTGGACCTCCACTGGGTCACAGAACATGTCAAACACAGATGTACCACATGGGAGTGATCGAACCCCGGACTCTCTACCACTAGACCACGGAGGCGGTCTTACGGCACATGAGATCTTACACCGTGCAATTAGTTACATGTAAGCTACACGTGGGCTCCACATCTGCGTTATGCTGCACCTCAGAAAGAGAACTGTTTAATTAATCTTCAGAACTACAGAGTAGTATTCAGGTACTGGTCATCAACATGCTATCTACCAAAACCCACTAATCTACAGTTGTGGTACACGTGAACCACAGCTTCCTATGTTTCAAAACAATAACAATAATATAATTGGTCCCTATATTCGCAATGATACACACTTTTACGTGCACATACTTGTATCGTTAAGAAATTATCATCATACGGGGGGTTTCCTTCAGTTGGAGATACTTGACAACGCGGTAGCCACTCTTGTCCATTTTCATCAGTTAAACACATCTAGTCACTTTGATACCTGTAGAAAACATATATGCTACCTGTTTGTTAATTTGGTTTAAATGCTGCCTTTAAAGCATGGGAAGTATTGTACTTAAAACATAAAACTGATAAGAGTGTACTATATATTTATATATACAGTAAACTGCGGTATAACGAACTCAAAGGGACCACTAATTTTAGTTCGTAATAACCGTAGTTCGTTATAAGCATATAAACAGCATATATACAACAAATTGATGGGACTAAAAAATAAGTTCGTTATATCTGTAAGTTCGTTATAAACGTGTTCGTTATAAACGTAGTTTACTGTACTTCGTGGTGAGGGTCAGAACATTTCATCTACCTCCTCGTACACATAACGACACATATGATATAAGTAGCTGCAGTATCAGTCGTACACAAAACAATTCGTCATTGAACAACACTTATAGCAAAACCCCTGCTTATCTTAATAGGCTACGCAGCTGACATATACCTGTATATGTCATAAAAACATACTTGTAAAAACACTCGTCCCAAAGTTCTTACCGCTTATATCACCCCTAAATCACTGTGAAATGCTATAGCTCCCATCCTCGGGCATAACTAAAGGTTCTCATTAAGGTAAATCCAGGGTCATACAGAGGTTGGTCTCCAACATCCCTATACTTTAACAGTAACAATTGTCCCTGGAACAATGTCATAGTCAACCGGTGAACGTTCGCATTTGGTTATGACGTAAAGCGGTGAGCTTTTTACCCAGAAGCCTTGGGCTGTCAACCCAAAATAGTCGTGACCCACTTGAACTCGCTTCTCCCTATAAATACAGAGCGTTGAGACGCGGCGAGCTTCTATCGTCGAGCGCTGTCAGGCAAACGAGCAGTGGGAAGGGGTACACCATATAACTTTACAAGCTAATATACAAGGAAAATAAACAGGTAAAGACATTTTATATGATATATATTACAGAAAAATACTGAAAAAATCTGGATGTTAGTTATGTTGTGTATTACACCGTGACGTAATAAACGTGCACTGTGTCAAAGTGACTTTTTTCGTATAATTCGTTATAATGCGTTGTTCTAAATAGTCACTGATATTTCTTTCATACCCAGATATATCATTATGTTGAATCTGCATTCAATACTGTTTAAGTTCAACGCTTTCTTTAAATTTCAATCTAAGCGTTATCTTGTGCTAATTCTTATCAACTAAAGTTATGTGTTACCACATGTTGATCTACATATATGTTTTGTGCCTATGTTATTGCATATATGTATTACATTTCGTTGTGTATGTTTCACAATATGTTCCAAAACGGTTCATGTTTCACTCAGGTGTTCAAATACCAAAATGCTAGAGAAATTATTTTGTTAAAAAATCCCCACTTTTCTTTTAAATTCTTTCTCTCACGTTTCTGTAATATTCTTTTATAAAGCACCTAGGCACATATCTCAATCTTCCCCAACACAGTCGTCACACAAGGACGGAGTTATGGTTTCAGTTTCAGTATAGGAAACGGTTGGCTGCGGGATTCCATAATCTTGTTGTACCATACACAACCTACTTGGCAACATACCAACCGTCTTCCAAGGTCTGAATTTCTTTAAGTACATACTAGTATACATTTCAACCTTGCAATGTGAGCTACGAAAAGTAACCCCAACGCTTAGCGTGTAAGTTGGTTACGTGCGCTGAATAGCATAAAGCGATTGATCTGACCGGTTAGTTGTTATGTGAAATGGGGTTTAGCTTCGCGTCCAAGAGTATTGCACTTATATTGCGACGTGCATGCACGTGTGTGTGTGTGTGTGTCTCTGTGTGTGTGTGAGTGTCGCTGATTTTACTCGTCCGGACTGATGCCGAATTTTATAGTGCTAGCCCACTGAGATACCATGCCGCGGTTTAACATGAATACCCCATTCAGACACAGTATACAGACTCCGAGTCGACCAGTCCTTGTTTAAGCCCCATAAAGCCGAGCGCCAGGCAGGGTAACAACAAGTACCATCTTTTAACGTCTTTTGGTATGACGCGGCGGGGGTCGATCCGCTCTCCGGGTGGACGCTCTATCACAAGACCACGGATGCGGGCGTCTGACCTAGTACTAATTACTACTGTCGAGATTCAGTTGCGGAAGGTCCTCAGTTACTTCGAGTCGGTACTTCTCGATTGAGAAAGGTATTATTTTCTGGTCCCTCGTTGGCAGTAAAACATCAAAATGACATATGTAGCACATTTCGTTGCATGAATTAAATGTTGCTTGGTGCAGAGTAGTTGCATTATACTTAGTTGGGGGCCAATCGTCTAAGTCCCTCCTTGGGCACGCCGAAACCTATGATCGTTGGTTCGAATCCCGGTTCGCCCCGATTATGCATATATTCATGTGTAGTTTGATACGTAGTGGGTTTGAAGTGGGACTGAACTTACATACACATATTTATTAATTTGGCTTATTATTTGGGCATTTTCCGATCAATTTCTCCTCGTTGATGACCGAATACAATTAATACTCGAGCGATTTGCATCTGATATTGCCTTGTATAATAATGACAGTCGTAAATGTCTACAATGCAGTCTGTTACTCATTCTGGTGATAGTGAGGTCGCCCTGAAAATAAAGCGTTCGCTCGTCACGCCGTATGCACGGGTTTGATTTCTTATGTCCCCGACCGTTATATTGCTGGACTATTTATAAAAGTCGTGCGAAACCATACTCACTTACTCACCAACCAACAGAGTAAGGAGCTTCAGCTGAGCACAACCCCAAGAGGAGTTCTGGAATGATAAGTATTTATATGTATCATCAGTGTACCACTTTGACCCTCAAGCTGTTCCCTGGTTGTCGTGAAGCCCTCGTGAACGAAGACGGTTGTTATTTGTACCTTGTACCATGACTCCAATCTTATCAACAAACGAAACATGGGTTAAGGGCATAGCTCCATCAAGGTCGTATGACGCAAGACAGGTATAGTATCGATCACATTATCATCGGGCAACATGACCCAGGTACGTCCACAGGCGTTATCGGTCAAGTGAGTAAGTGAGTGAGTTGAGGTTAACGCTCTTTTTGCAATGTTCTAGCAATATCAAGGCACCAGAAATGGCTACAGCTATTGTGCCAATATGGGGAGTAGAACCCAGGGTTTCGGCGTGACGGGCCTACGCTTTAACCACAAGGTTAATCCACTGCCTAATCGGTCACCTTTCGGTCACGCTTTGAAACAGTACCGTTAGATCCTTTTTTGGGTCTGACAACTAAGCCTTACGACTTGAGTGTACATATGTATGTGTGTTGTTAGCGCATTAAGAATTCTTATTATCATTATAACAATTCTAATTATGCACCGTATCCGTTCCGCCCACATTAGCAAAGGTCAACGACCTGTATCACTTAGGAATTACCTCTCAGTGAGCTAGCACTAGTATCAGTCCGCACTAGTACAAGCAGCCACACACACACACACACACACACACACACACACACACACACACACACGAGGAAGATGAAATACTGTTAAAGAGGCCTCAAGCATCACTCACTTCGAAGATATGGGGAAATGTTGAGTGGGTTTTTTTAGTACTGTTACACTGGAGTGGTGTCTTACCGCTAGTTTAATACAAAAATGGTATAATTCAAATTTTGGCATAACGAACAACACTGAAAGAGTGAAGGTACATCTACAGTCATACAGAGCTAAGCTTGAGATGTTTTTGCAAAACTATTGCATTCATTTGATTAATAGTTGTAGAAGGTTCAACAGCATGCTGAATTATTCGCGTTTTGTTACGTCATCATATCACATTGTTAAAGTAATGTGTCAAATCGATTTGTTTTGTTTGTTTGTTGTTTTACGCCGCACTCAGCAATATTCCAGCAAAATGACGGCGGTCTGTAAATAATCGAGTCTGCACCAGACAATCCAGTGATAGACATCATGAGCATTGATCCACGCAATTGGGATACGATGACATGCATCAACCAAGTCAACGAACCTGACCACCCGATCCCGTTAGTCGTTTTCTTACGACAAGCAAAGTCGCCTCTTACGACAAGAATGGGTTGCGGAAGACCTATTCCACCCCGGATCTTCACGGATCATGTCAAATCTGAGCGTCAGATAATTGCGTCAGGTGTCTCGGTGAGGAATGTCCTTTGCACTCTAAATTTAGTTTCCTCTCGAGTTATAAAAGCACTCAGCAATATATTGAACTGAAACTCTCTGTATAGAACATGCAAAAACATATTCACAATAATCATAGGTTTGCAAAACCCATTTTGTATTCACTCTTCCATAAACTTTTTAATTTACATAAATTAATAAATTAAGTATGAATCTTGGAGTGCGTAATTATTCGTGTTCTTTGCAACTGACAACGAATCGATTTCAGGTAGTGTGCTGCACGAGACATGTCTATGCATGCACATGTATACAACGAGGTTCAGTTAAGCGCGGGGAACTGATGGCCCAGTAAACTGAGATGTTGTGTGTCTCAGGCATGCCGGCTGAACTGAAGCTGTTTTTATACATTTAATGGCATTATCTTTTTTCCTTTCCATGGACACGTGGAAGCTTGTCTTGAGTTGAGGCTCAGTTGTGGAGAGACTCTCAGTTAATCATTTTTCTTTATGAACTATATGTTGTTATGGAAGATGGGACACGGGTGACCCAGCGGTCTGAGCCCATGCTATTCGCTGTGCAGAGTTGTGTCCCTTGGGCTCGCCAGAAACCAATGACTGTGTTCGCCGAATCCAGGGTTTCAAAATGATTATTTTCATAGGTCTGTCCGAACCATACCTGTGCTCATGGGTTTCAACAAAGCGGTAAATGTCTAAGATATTCATCAAGTTGACACGCTCTAAGTGGCATTAACCCATCCTCACTCACTCATTAAACTGAGTGCTGAGTGAAAAACAGTTGCAAAGAATATTTAAATACATATGCCTTCAGTGACCTTAAACACGAGTCTGTTTGCACACACTTCCTCGTGTTCAGCGTCACGGTATTCAAAGGTCACCGTTCGAGTGACTACGCTCTTTGTATCACGTCCAACGTATTCGATTTACTAATTGGGGGGCGTGAAATACACATTGAACCAACATGTGGCGATAGCAGTAGTTCACTATACCGCCATACAGACTCAACAACGCTTCACTATACCGCCATACAGACTCAACAACGCTTCACTATACCGCCATACAGACTCAACAACGCTTCACTATACCGCCATACAGACTCAACAACGCTTCACTATACCGCCATACAGACTCAACAACGCTTCACTATACCGCCATACAGACTCAACAACGCTTCACTATACCGCCATACAGACTCAACAACGCTTCACTATACCGCCATACAGACTCAACAACGCTTCACTATACCGCCATACAGACTCGACAACGCTTAACTATACCACATGCTACGACAGTGATTATCATATAACCATAGCAAATCGCTAAACCATTATAAAGACATATATCACTGAATCACAATGCCATGATATGAGGAGCATAGCAGTCACACAGTCGGTGTCCAGGACAACCATTTTGTTTTTGGCTGTCTCAGTATATTGTTGAGAAGAGATTATTCCTTCCACTTAAAGAATGAATAGAACCGAGGAACGCAATTACACATTACACTACTTGTTTCCCAGAATTTAATTGTTGGTGATCCAGATGAGTTATAGCGTGTATTCACTATGTAATGCTATCAGTCATACACACATATACGCTGGTGAACATTAATTTTGCATTTGGAGGTTTATCTGAGATTCATTTTGACGATGAAATGGCTATGGTTTTCAAACTCAAATAATAAAGCACACCATTTTCCTATGTAATGTCAACAAATTACAACAAACCTAAAAACCGCGTTCAGGTTTTTAAATGAAAATTACAAAATTAATAATTACAAAACACGAGTTTTATCATCAGTCCTTTTTACACGCGTGCTGTCATGGGCCAGGTATTGCAAATGTCCCAAATAGTGTAAACAGCCTTACGTGGTGACGTGACGGATTTCAACCTCGGTCCAGAAACCCGGATGTTATAAGTGTGTGTTTACAAACAGTCCACACCGTGTCATTCACGCACAGAACGGCTGCAGATCGCACGCAACCCAACCGCAGTGAGTCGTCACACGAGAGCAATTCACATACAATAGACAAATACACTACGACGTAAAATCAATGAAAGTTGAACATAGAGTGGCGATCATTCCTGTCTATTCATATTTACTGCTTATATCCTTCATGAAAATGTCACGTTGGTATGACCTGGGTCATATGAATCATTCACTACCCGGGTCATTTATCTGACGGTGCCATTCGTCGCCACTCCCCCGGCCCCTTACGGCCTCCGTAACCTGCAAGATCGGCTTGTCCCGGAATAACACGAGTTGGTCACAAATGTGACAGTGCGTTCAGATTATCACGCACTGAATCGCTCTGACCTGGATGTTCGGCGTTGTAAGGGAGCAACTATTTAATTTTCATGGGGATGTGGGTGGTATTTTGAATTGATATCAGCATTTATTATATTGTTTAGCTCAATTGATGTTTACTGTTTCCAACATAAACAGGTGCTCCATTAATTGTTTTACAAATAAATTAACATAGCGAACTGTAAAGACAAAATCTATTTCGTGTTCACAGTGTGAAGTTTTACAGTTTTAATAAAAAAGTTTTGAATTAAATTGTGACTTCTCATTATTTCAATACAACCCGTCTGCAATTCAAGGGCGCAATATTGTTTTCAACAATGCGAGGAATAAGTAAATATAATTCAGTTTAAACGATGGCCTGAAAATCAAATGCTTGTTCCCTTATTCAAAGGCAGATCATGTTTGAAGCATATGTGCAGTGCAGTCACTGAGTTAACGTGGGCTTGTCGTACAGATTTTGTAGTTCATGCAGGTAAGTGTCGCTGGTAATATCACTTTAATCCACAGAATCTGTTGAATCATTTGTTTCTAAATCATTTGTAATGTTGGTTACTATTTTCTCCTTATTACTGAAGCATGGATTGTTTAGTTAGACTCATGTTTATATCTATCCGGTTACACATACGTGCATGTATAGTCAACAACAAAAGTTCCTGTGACACCAATATTTTAGTGTATTTTTCAAACAAGTAAAGTTTGGTTTTCAATATTGTAGAACATGTATGGAATCAAGTCACGAAAACGCAACTGCTACAGAAAAGCATGCATTCCATGCAAAATGTGACTTTTATGCAAGACCCATGCATTTCACTACCCAAAAATGGGTATAAAAACATCTGCGTTAACGGGATTCCATATGCATTGTTTAGCATCGTGCTGACAAGCACTCAGAAAAACAATAAAATTACGCAATTATTCAACATTACGAAATGCCACGCCTGTGCGAAAATGAGCGTCTGCGAGCCATTGGTATGCTTGAAGCAGGATCGAGTCAACGTGTTGTTGCAAGACAATTTAACGTCCACAGAAGCACCATTTGGTGTTTATGGCAACATTGGCAACAGACGAACGCAGTCACAGACCATCCTCGGAGTGGCAGGCCACGCGTAACCAATAATCGACAAGACAACTGGATTCGAACAACACACCTACGAAATCGATTCCAGCCAGCAACAGTGACTGCAAGAAGCATCCCTGGCCTTCGACCAATGTCTTCACAAACCGTACGTCGCCGCCTCAGATGTGCAGGGATTGTCGCAAGATGACCCACCAGACGTCCCATTTTGACAGGAAACCACCGTCAAGCACGTCTACAGTGGTGCAGACAGCGTCTACGCTGGACGGTCATGCAGTGGGGACAAGTTCTATTCACTGACGAGATCGGCCCTGTTGTTCTATTGTTTTTGCGTCGTCATGGCCCAGGCATTACCTTTCAACATGACAACGTCCGGCCTCATATTGCTCGACTTGTTAAGGATTCTCTTCAACAAAAAAACATGAATATCATCCCCTGGCCGGCTCGCTCCCCTGATCTCTCGCCAATAGAACACATGTGGGATGAGATGGATCGGCGCCTTCGACGTCAACCACGTGTTCTACAGACACTCCAGGAACTTCGAAACATTCTCCAGCAGATATGGACAGATATCCCACAGGACTTTGTGCGACGCCTGGTCCATCCCATGAGACGAAGATGTGTTGCTTGCATCGCATCCAGAGGTGGACACACACGCTATTGATTTGTCAATTGACATTTTGGCATGTTCATGTTTTTTTTAATGAAATCACGCATTTTCTGAAGTCAGTATGGCAAATTAAACCATTTGAATACTTACAGGAGTCTTTTTCATCTTTTGCAAACCGAAATTGTTTCAGATTTGGTAAAAACATAACTTTGCATTAAATCTTATTCAATGTCACAGGAACATTTGTTGTTCAGTATATATATGATAATATTAGTAAATATGTATTTATATTACATATACTGCACATTATATTTCGACAAAAAGTTTCAAAATAAAGGATGATTCAATAGAGGGATTTTATATTTAACACGTCACACAAGGCAAAAATGAACACGAGGAAACGTTGGTCGACATTTGAGCCCCCTCATCATTGCTATTTTGGAATGAATTTATAAACAACGAAGTAAGTTACATTAACATGCCTGTCAGATAACAATATTTACAGTATTCACCTCGGAATCCGCCCAACTTGTCTATTCAGAAGGTTGTTGGTTGAACACAAAATGGTCAGGGGCTGACCCTTGGATATTCGGGAGGATATGATGTTGCGGATCAGTGGACGAAATAATATACTGGACCCGTGAAGATCCGGGGTAGAATAGGTCTCCAGCAGCCCATGCTTGCTCGAAAAGGCGACTATGCTTGTCGCAAGAGGCGACTAAGGGAATCGTATGGTCAGGCTCGCTGACGTGGTTGATGCAGGTCATCGTATCCCAATCGCATGGATCGATGCTCATGATATTAATCACTGGATTGTCTGTTCCAGACTCGATTGTTTATAAACTTCCGTCATATAGCTGAGTATGGCGTTTAACAACAAACAACACTGCCAACAGTTGGATTAGATCAGTGGTAGTTGAGGAATCGTCGCTCGAGTTAGTTTTATGTTTGTTGTATTTGTGTGTTTATTTATTTAGTGTTGACGCATACATGTATTATTATTTGTCTTCAATCTGCTTTTTCCCAGTCGTCAGCCACGTTTACATGTATAAAATATGATTATCTTTCGTTTCGTTTCAGATCGACATTGTGTGTAGAAGTATGCTCGGTTTTGGTGTCAATCCAACCGCTAACCGATCGCCATCCTGGAAGAAATGGATCAAGTTAATCACGCAAGGAGGGGCTATTATGGAGCTGAAAAAAGCGGCAATCATTCCGGATGTTGGGTCGAAATTAATCCGCAGCAAAGGATTCAATCTTACAGATGAAGAAGTAATGGTAAATATTGCCATTTCTTATTATATTCAGATATTTCAGTGACGTACAACAACACGTGACTTTCAGTATCCTAGCTCTTGGAGATAACGATCATTCAAGGAACGGGACAAACACTATGACACGCGTGAATCCCGTGCTTGGTAAGACCTGCGGACTTTGCGTGGTGACAGTCCATTTCTGCTACGTAATTCCCGTGATATCTGCACCTTATGTGTCAAGGGCTGTCATATGTCATCATGACCAGCAGTTTGCCCAGGACCAGGCCGACATGCAGCGTAATGGTTCAGTTGTCGTTTTGACAACATTGTGCGTTGCCGTATCCACGTCAGTAAGCTTACACAATGTGTCTAGTGGATAGAGCGTGTGCCTATGGAGTGGGCTATCTATGGTTCGATCCCAGGCAAGCCTCCTACCAAAAGACGTTGAAAGGTGATAAATATTACCAAGCTGGCGCTCTGCTTTAAGATTTTGTTTTTGTTTGTTTGTTTAACGCCGCACACAAAATTCAACCTATATGACGGCGGTCTGTAAATAATCGAGTCTGGACCAGACAATTCAGTGATTGACATCATGAGCGTCGATCCACGCAAATCGGAGACGCTGACATACATCTACCAAGTCAGCGAGTCTGACTACCCGATCCAATTAGTCGCCTCTTACGAAAGGCATAGTCGTCTTTTGCGGCAAGCATGGGATGCTGAAGACCTATTATATTCCGGATCTTCACGGGTTCTCTGCTTTAAGAGGATAAAACAAGGATTTGCCGTCTCGGAGACTCTATATACTGTGTCTGAGTGTCTGCTGCTTGGCATCTCGTTGGTGTATTGCTATAAAACCGTATTAGTCCGGGCTAGAACACATACGTGCTTGTACTTTGTTATACATGTAGAATAACCTCGAAGGCGACGTTAAGAGTCCACCTCACCTCACCTCACTTCACCTCACCTCAACTCGCCTCACCTCACCTCTATTTGTCACCTATTTCAGGTAGGCCGCACAAACTCGAAGCATGCCGATACAGAATAGGTCCCAAGTTATCACGCTTGTTTCAGTGGCCGATGAGCCTCAACCGGTGTTCAGACCCGTGAAGATTCCGGGGTAGAATAGGTCTTCAGCAACCCATGCTTGCCTTAAAAGGTGACTACGCTTGTCGTAAAAGGCGAGTAACGGGATCGGGTGGTCAGGCTCGCTGAGTTGGTTGATGCATGTCATCGATCCCAATTGCGTGGATCGATGCTCATGATATTAATCACTGGATTGTCTGGTCCAGACTCGATTATTTACAGACCGCCGTCATATAGCTGGAATATTGCTGAGTGCGGCGTTAAACAACAAACAAACAAACCAACCAACCGGTGTTCAACCACTGATTTATCCGCTTCAAACTCGACCTGTCGCAGGTGGCCGTCTGAAAGCTGCAAGATTACACCATTGCGGCAAAACACAACATTCACTCACATATGCCCGAGTTTTTAATCAATTAAATTTTTTTACCGAGTAAACGACAAAATATCGGTGTCGCTCATAAATATACACTGTACATAAAGCTAAACACTTCAAAACATGAGTGTACATTGTCAGCATATACCGAACTGACCTCTAACGTCTGGATCTGTTGATAGATTACACACCCAAGGACACACGCTTCAGGTGTGGTGGTATGAAATATACACCTGTTGTCTTATGCTGTATAAAAACAAAGCTAACACGCCGGTAAAACAGGATACACGCGTGACGTTTCTGAAATATGATATCACTTTGAAAACAAGTAAGGCGCGTTTGGGTAGACTGATGGTTAACGTTCGATTCCCCACATGGTAAACATGTTTACTGAAAGAGGCGTTAGATGCAACTCACTCATTCGCACACTCCTATGCGTGAGGAGAATGATTAGTTTATGTTCAGAGTCAGTAAGCTCTTATTTTCTTCTGACCGTTTACAATACACACATGTATTATCCAAATACACGGGACCGTGAAGATCTAGGGTAGATTAGGTCTTCAGCAACCCACGTTTGTCATAATAGGCGACTAACGTGATCGGGTGGTCAGGCTTACTGACTTGGTTGATACATGTCATCGTATCCCAATTGCGTGGATTGATGCTCATGCCAATCACTGGATTGTCTGTTCCAGACTCCATTATTTACAGACCGTCGTCATATAGCTGGAATACTGCTATAGTACGGCGTTATACACAAACAAACAAATACACAGTCAAACATTCGATATCGAAACAGAAAATACATCTGAAATGATTCACTTGTTTTACATCTGACAATTTATGTTTTTCAGTATATTGTAGTTATTTAATATTTTTTTTAAATCGAGAAAAGAAAGTACCCGAACATCAAGTTACACACGCACCGGATTTTGTTTCATATTATTTAATGTTTCTCAGTGAACCTAACAACTCAACCGTCACCCACTTGTTCCCAGTTATATCATCTCTAGTGGTAGAGCGTCCGCCCGGAGAGCGAAAGGTCCGGGGTTCGATCTACGGCCGAGTCATACCAAAATACGTCATAAGATGGTACTTGTTGAAACCTTATCTGGCGCTTGGCATTAAGGGACTAAAACAAGGACTGGTCGGCTCGGAGTCAGTACACTGTGTCTAAGTGGGGGTATTCATGTTAAACTGCGGCATGGTTTCTCAGTGGGCTAGCACTATAACTTGGCATCAGTCCGGACTAGTACAAGCAGCCCGTCACACACGTGCATGCACGTCGCTATGTAAGTGCAATAATCTTGGACGCGACGTTAAACCCCATATCACCTCATGTATCGCACACACAGAAATACGCGGCCCATCTGCATTGGACCACATTCTTGCCACGATTTCCGTGGCACACTAAAATAGAACCCCCAGCACCAGCGTCTGCAGATGCATACACGAAAAAATGCAGGTGTCGATGTAGGGAGTCACTTCGGAAGCTACTTTGTCAAGCTCCTTTTCACTGTGCCAGCGGCCATTACAAGAATTTCCCCCACTAACCCCAAATGTGATAATCATATTTTGTGTAGGTATTTGGAAATGGCATTCCAGTAAATTGGGAAGATGTTTACCACTGACGTACTATTTCCGTCTGTTTTACGTCTGTTTGTTCAATAAGATTGGTTCGAGATTGCTTACTAACGGAACAACACTCAATTTCCTCCTTGCGCTCTCACTGAAGTAACTACGTAACAGTTGAAATGAAATAGAAATTCAAAAAGACAAGCAATCAAATTAATTTAGTTGGGGGAAAGAGTATTCGGCGTCACTACAGTCACCACTAGTTTGTACACAAAACGGTCAGTCGGCTGTTCAACTCCATGCATGGTTGCAGGGCAACTAGCACAGTGGGGCGCTGTGACATGCCAGCGCTAAGTATAGAGAGCTCCGCGAACAGGCTATCGCTGTCAGGAGCTTGCCACGTCTTTTGGAATTCGGGCGGCATGTCTGTATTTACAATTGAGTGCGTTGGAGATATGGACCGAAGAACTGCGTTCTCCATCAGCAATGAATGAGAACTGGCAGTTCTGCGTTTTTCTTCAGCTCAGGTTGTAGTTTGGCGTTTCGATATGAATTTTACGATAATGCACAAATAATCGTTAATTTTGCCAGAGACCATATACCGATATATGGTCTCTGATTTTGCATACCATTGAAGGTTAAGTCACCTGACAGAGTTGTCTCTCTTAGCCGTGACAGGGTCAGCTGTTCGTGGGTTCAAAGCTGAAGTTCGTAGTGTTACGTAGTCATACAGCAGCCATGCCAGTAAATCCCACAATATCACAACTTCCATACTCCGAGATTAACGGAAAACCACTTCATTATCGTGGAGATTAATGCACTGAAAATAAAGGGAAATAGTATGCGCCTCTCCACTGTGACGTCACAGCTAGAGTTCTGCCTGTAGTCGGGATTTCGATATGCGTACGCGATGGTTGTGGATCAGGGCAGCTGCTTATATCCTTTTAGAATAAAATCACATACGATTTTTTTGTGTGTAAAGATTACTTTGTTTGACCATGTAACATGTTATGAAGTTTGGATATGATATCCTCTAAACATAATTTATTCATTCCATCATTTTCCAACGACAGCATTCTTTAACTGTGTTACAGTATAATACTCTCGTTCCAGGCAATCAGTCAATGTTTTCACAGCGACCAACACCCGGAAACTATTCGTGCCAGCGGATGTACGTATTGTCTGAAGAGCGCATGTCAGGAACAGGTTGTCGCCTTCAATGGTGGACGGTACCTGATTGTCAGCAAGACGAAGAGCATCATCATTGTGGCGGTGTGTGAATCCAAGGCCAAACTCTCCGCCGCCTCCACGTGGCTCCTGCGAATCGCCTCTTCCATATCGTGAGTGACTTGAGTCGCCACAACGAAAGAATTGAACGCACAACGACTTCAGCACATCCCGGGACCAAGAAGAACAAACTACACTTCAACTTCGACTGTCTATTCCTTTATAGAAATGTGCCATGTGTCTTAAGGCTCCGGTGTTGATCCGTCCTTGATCAAGGTACTGTTTGTCCTCAACAAGTTACCAACGTCAGTATCGTGGCACCGTTTCCATGGTGTTTGACCAAGAAATGTTGACACTGGAAATGGGAAGCTTAGAAACGCAGGAGTGTCCAAAGAGACAAGGGATTCGTTGGTGTTTTGAAAGGTACAAAATCGGTTAGATGGTACTGTTTGCAAACCGGTATTTCTCGGTATTTGACAAAGGAATAGCCTGTATACTACGTCTATATTGCAAATGTTTGTGAGGGTGATATTTGATAAGGTAACAAGTTCTTTGACAAAATGTTGACAAAGTACCAGCCGTGATATCATCAATGCGCATGACACGAAACTGCTCATATCTTGTATCCTGCCCGATATGTTGACCAGAGTCTCCATTTGTTGATGACACATGTTCGCGTGTACCACTGCTTTGCTCAAACAAACCGGATCTCATGTACAGATACATATTCAAAACAACCTCCATTTTATGGTCTGGATTTGAAGTGATGTGAATACATCATTTAAACTGGCATCACACACTATACTACTGGCCACTGAAGATTGTGTAACGACTACGACAAATCTTAAAGAATTAACATTAAGATGTAGTTAAAATAGCGTTGCAATGAGATTAGTTTTACAGTATTGAATTTTCAAACGACCATGACAAAAGCGCCTGATTAAATCTCGACGTGAATTTGTATGCGGTATATAGCAAACAGGCTGTGAGGGGACACCGAATACAATGGAGCGTGCAATGGAGGATACCATCGTAGGGCGAGATCAAATCCTTCGCATGACTATTGTGTGTTATTGTACGTAATGTGTCTGTCGTGTAATAAACATGTACAACCTAATAAAGACATTTTGTTGAGATGTATATTGTCGAGAGTAAACAAAGAAACGATGCTTTTGTCTGAAATATTTAGTCGGTTGTTTCTAGTCGCCAAGAAGTTAAAGCGTTCGCTCGCCATGTCACAGATCCGGGTTCTACTCCTTATATGGATAGTGTGTTAAGCCCATTAACGGTAATCTCCGCCATGATAAGGCTAAAGGTCATGTAGCTATTCAAGACTCAACTACAGCTAGATAAGTGAGTTGGTTTCAGCGCTGATTTGAACAAAATTTCATTTCCTGAAATATCACGTGCCATATTGATAAGGGCGAAATCCTGAAGTTGTAACAGCCATTGATGTGTATCACTTTGGTTAAACAACGACGAACCAAAGATCCTAATCCCGTTGAACATGGGATTCGAACCTAAGATCAGCGGATCCTGGCACACAAAGGAACCAAACTAAACATAACGAATTCAGCGTCCGTGCACTCTCGGATTCAAAACTAAGTACCCTTGTCAAGGAAATTGGGGAACTATCATTATTTTGTTCAACATTGGGACTTTTCAGGAAGTTATTCCCCTTTTTTCAGAGATATGTTACCATAATATTACAGCCTTGCATTGATTTCATTTGTTTACATGATTTGGCAGTTTTATTAGTCCAACTTTTATTGCAGGCTTTGGACAAATTTCGGCCTCTGAGCAGGTCAAGATAAACCGCTGATCAGCCAGGTGAGTGGCAGTGTCCTTGTCGCTCCAACACGGCAACCTGTAGATGGCCAATCTGGGTCGCTCCATCACGGCAACCTGTAGATGGCCAATCTGGGTCGCTCCATCACGGCAACCTGCAGATGGCCAATCTGGGTCGCTCCATCACGGCAACCTGTAGATGGCCAATCTGGGTCGCTCCATCACGGCAACCTGTAGATGGCCAATCTTGGACGCTCCGTCACGGCAACCTGTAGATGGCCAATCTGGGTCGCTCCATCACGGCAACCTGTAGATGGCCAATCTGGGTCGCTCCGTCACGGCAACCTGTAGATGGCCAATCTGGGTCGCTCCATCACGGCAACCTGTAGATGGCCAATCTGGGTCGCTCCGTCACGGCAACCTGTAGATGGCCAATCTGGGTCGCTCCATCACGGCAACCTGTAGATGGCCAATCTGGGTCGCTCCATCAGGGCAACCTGTAGATGGCCAATCTGGCTCGCTCCATCACGGCAGTCTGTAGATGGCCAATCTGGGTCGCTCCATCGCGGCAGTCTGTAGATGGCCAATCTGGGTCGCTCCATCACGGCAGTCTGTAGATGGCCAATCTGGGTCGCTCCATCACGGCAACCTGTAGATGGCCTATCTGGGTCGCTCCATCACGGCAACCTGTAGATGGCCAATCTGGGTCGCTCCATCACGGCAACCTATAGATGGCCAATCTGGGTCGCTCCATCACGGCAGTCTGTAGATGGCCTATCTGGGTCGCTCCGTCACGGCAACCTGTAGATGGTCAATCTGGGTCGCTCCATCACGGCAGTCTGTAGATGGCCAATCTGGGTCGCTCCATCACGGGAGTCTGTAGATGGCCAATCTGGGTCGCTCCGTCACGGCAACCTGTAGATGGCCAATCTGGGTCGCTCCATCACGGCAACCTGTAGATGGCCAATCTGGGTCGCTCCATCACGGGAGTCTGTAGATGGCCAATCTGGGTCGCTCCGTCACGGCAACCTGTAGATGGCCAATCTGGGTCGCTCCATCACGGCAACCTGTAGATGGCCAATCTGGGTCGCTCCGTCACGGCAACCTGTAGATGGTCAATCTGGGTCGCTCCGTCACGGCAACCTGTAGATGGTCAATCTGGGTCGCTCCATCACGGCAGTCTGTAGATGGCCAATCTGGGTCGCTCCATCACGGCAGTCGCTAGATGGCCAATCTGGGTCGCTCCGTCACGGCAACCTGTAGATGGTCAATCTGGGTCGCTCCAAAGCACGATGAGGATACACACCATAAGGCTTCGATGACATACAACCTTTAAGGTCAATCATTTTAGGCGACCATGCAACCAGAAAACGAATGGAAAGTTCACAAAAGGAACCTATCATATACTAATTTAATACAAATCGGATGAATGACGCATCTTAATGCAGAAATAATTTATTTAGCCCTCTCTACTCTCCCACCCGCGTGTCGAATTCCAGGTGCAAGTTCCACTGCGAATGATGGTCATGCGGTCATGCGGTCATGGTTGTGTAATGCCATGCCATGCTTCTCGTGCTCTGACATAACTACGTGCCTCGGCGGGTCATCGTCTGACTGAAGTAAGACTAATCTCCGCGGTTTTTTCGTGCTGCACGTGTCGCATGAGCCAACATAGCTCATGTACATTCGGGTCCACTCGGCAATTTCAGTTACCTCCGTAATATCTCCAAAAGCAGAAGATATATACGACATGACGGCAAATTTGTTTTGTCGTTTAACGCCGCACTCGGCAATATTCAAGCTATATGACGGCGGTCTGTAAACAATTGAATCTGGACCAGACAATACAGTGACTGAATGCGAATCGACCACACGATGACATGCATCAGTCAGGATGCCGAGTCTGACCACCCGATCCCGTTAGTCGCCTCTTCCGACAAGCATGGGTTGCTGAATATCAGTTCTAACCCGAATCTTTATGGGTTTTATGGCTATGAGAACGGTGTATAGATATGCATTTTATAATATACTGAACAACACAAATTCCTGTGACATTGAATAAGATTTAATGCAAAGTTATGTTTTTTACCAAATCTGAAACAATTTCGGTTTGCAACAGATGAAAGACTCCTGTAAGTGTTCAAATGGTTTAGTTTGCCAAACTGACTTCAGAAAATGCGTGATTTAATATAAAAAACATGAACATGCCAAAATGTCAATTTACAAATCAATAGCGTGTGTGTCCACCCCTGGTTGCGATGCAAGCAACACATCGTCGTATCACTGAATGGACCAGGCGTCGAACAAAGGCCTGTGGGATATCTGTCCATATCTGCTGGAGCAGACGACGTGGTTGACGTCGAAGGCGCCGATCCATCTCATCCCACATGTGCTCGATTGGTGAGAGATCAGGGGAGCGGGCCGGCCAGGGGATGACATTCACGTTGTTTTGTCGAAGAGAATCCTGAACAAGTCGAGCAATATGAGGCCGGGCGTTGTCATGTTGAAAGGTAATGCCTGGGCCATGACGACGCAAAAACGGTAGAACAACAGCGCTGATAATCTCGTCGCGGTAGCGCGGTCAATTGAGATTTCCCTCTACCACTATCAAACGGGTCCTCTGTTTTGCTGTAATCCCACCCCATACCATAACGCTGTCAGCCCCGAACCGGTCTTCTTCCATGACACAATGATTGACCTAACGTTCACCTCGACGTCGGTACACTCGAATCCGTCCATCGCTGTGGTTGAGGTGAAAACGAGACTCGTCAGTGAATAGAACTTGTCCCCACTGCATGTCCGTCCTGCGTAGACGCTGTCTGCACCACTGTAGACGTGCTTGACGGTGGTTTCCTGTCAAAATGGGACTACTGGCGGGTCTTCTGGCGACAATCCCTGCACATCTGAGGCGACGACGTACGGTTTGTGAAGATATTCATCGAAGGCCAGGGATGATTCTTGCAGTCACTGTTGCTGTCTGGAATCGATTTCGTAGGTGTGTTGTTCGAATCCAGTTGTCCTGTCGAATATCCTTTGTCCTGTCCTGGTGTTTCTGTGGACGTTAAATTGTCTTGCAACATCACGTTGACTCGATCCTGTTTCAAGCATACCAATGGCTCGCAGACGCTCATTTTCGGACAGGCGTGGCATTTCGTAATGTTGAATAATTGCGTAATTTTGTTGTTTTTCTGAGTGGTTGTTGTCAGCACGATGCTAAACAATGCATATGGAATCCCGTTAACGCACATGTTTTTATACCCATTCTTGGGTAGTGAAATGCATTGGGCTTGCATAACATTTAACTTTTACATGGAATGCATGCTTTTCTGTAGCAGTTGCGTTTTTGTGACTTGATTCCATACATGTACTACAATATTGAAAAACTTTACTTGTTTGAAAAATACACTAAAATATTGGTGTCACAGGAACTTTTGTTGTTGAGTATAGATATATATTTTATAATGTGATGGAGCTCCCTTTATATGACGGCCGTCTGTACATAATCGAGTCTGGACCAGACGATCCAGTGATTGACAATTTGAGCATCGATCCACGCAATTGGGACACGATAACATGTATCAACCAAGTCGGGCATTTTGTTGATAACGGAGAATGCTTCATATGACGTGGGAAATTGGAAAAAAATATTAAATAATGAGATTATAAATGTGACAAACGCGCAGGTTTATAAATGACGCGTCGATTCCCGAGAAATAATTTTTCTTTTGTCAAGCCCAACACATGACGCACACAAGGGCCACAGAGGCCGTGAAGAGTTATGGTTCTTGGATCGCGCCCGGAACAGTACGCCTATACTTTCCTCAAGATGCAAAAGCAGAGCTCAGTGAGACAGTTCGTCTAGGGAACCGATCAAGACCTGTAACCACTCATATATCCTACAATATGTATTTATGAATATCGCTTGTCTGACATAAGAAGACGGATATGTCGGAGAATACTGTTAAGCGGACGTAAAATCCCTCGACATCGGTAACAGCAAAACTTGGAATTCGATGCCTGGTTGGAATGTACGCAACGTTTGTTTGTTTGTTCTTTTGTTTGTGTTTTTGTTGTTTAACGCCGCACACAGCAATATTCAAGCTATCGATCCAGGCAATTGGTATATGATGTCAACGAGCCTGACCACCCGATCCCGCTGGTCGCTTCTAACAAGCATTGGTTGCTGAAGACATATTCTAACCCGGATCTTCGCGGGTGTACTGTATGTAACGCTATACTTTGTATATCAATACAGGAAAACTCGACACTACACGTTAAGGAGATTAATCCGTTGTATGTTCAGATGTTTTTAATGCAGTAATGTACTGAAAACAATTACACTATTACACAATAAATAACAATTAGTTTTCTTTAATAGCCCAAAGGACACTTTCTACGGGTGGTTGTTTGTTTGTTGTTTAACGCCGTACTCAGCAATATTACAGCTATATGACGGCGGTCTGTACATAATCGAGTCTTGACTAGACAGTCAAGTGATTGACATCATGAGCATCGATCCACGCATGTTGGATACGATGACATGCCTTAACCAAGTCAGAGAGCCTGACCACCCGATCCCTTTCGTCGCTTCTTACGACAAGCATAGTCGCTTTTATACGGCAAGCATTTGTTGATGAAGATCTATTCTACCCGGATCTTCACGGGCATATATAATATAAGTATTTTTAGCTAGTGACATATTCCCCAGGGAACATGCCTCAACTAAGTCAGCGAGCCTGACCACCGTTCCTGTTAGTCGCCTCTTACGACATTGCATAGTCCGTTTAACGGTTTGCTGAAAACCTATTCTACCCCAGATCTTCACAAGTCTTTTACAGGTGGCGGTTGGGTTACCAAAGTTGTAGACGCTTTAAAACCAAGGATCATAATCAACATGTCCAAGGGACGCAACTCTGCACAGGGAATTCGGGGGCCTCACTTTGACCAGTGCTCCGTCCGTGTTCGTCCCGTCGGGGTCCGGTGACACAAATTATGTAGGCTATCCATTGTAACCACCAATCCCCAAGTCGGTTCTTATCTTATATATCTTATATACTCATTTCCGGTGTTCCCCGCCGTGATATTTCTTGAAAATTGCTAAAAGCGGCGTAAAACCGTACTCACTCACTCACTATGTTATACATTACTGAGGATTTATTCAGACCCCCAGAATCCCACAGGTTTTATCATATCCAACATCTACAAATCAATATAGAATATAATTGCAGTATAATTATTCAAGGTGCATGAAGTTTCTTGACTTCGATTAAACCTACGACATTTGATTAATTTGTGCCCCCTGAATGAAGACAACAACGAAATTATACACCCTTACGATTTACACAGAGACGTTAGTCTAATGACACAGATCTATATATCAGTAAATAATATGTCAGGACCTCAGGCCTAACTTCTGAGATCAATCATCCATGCGTAGCTACTTCTTGAGTACCAAGTGAACTCGACCTGCGTATCGATTGATGGCGGCGAGCAGCCGCAGGTTTCCATACACCGACTGTGCAGAAAGGTAAGACAGTTTTAACATTTACTTCCGCCTTAGAAACAACAGAGTTCTGACACTGCCATGTGGTGACTTCAAGTTTCATTCAAGTGCCTCTTTGTACCTTCAAAATCCCGCGCTTGTTTCCCTGATCTGCACTGGCTACACGAATGTCACACGGTTACCTCCCGATACACACGCCTGTGCAATACGTCAAGAACCAATGGCACAAGAATGACCCAGGCGTCACCTATGTGAGGCTCAAGCGTTCTCAAAGCGAGCACCTCTTGGCACGATGTCCTGTGTCGTTGTCTGTGTCATGTACTGCATGTGTGCCAAAACGTTGAGGTATTATTGTTCTGCCATATATTGACATGTCTTGTGCTGGCAGCACCCAATCATCCTTTTGAAATACAAGTAACTGTTCCTTATGGGGAAATATGGGGCTATTTACACGTATAAGTCAGACTCTTTAACCTTGCTATTTATATCACTCAAAATATACAGTACAGAGGACTCACAACTGATAGGGAGAGAATGTACTCGAATATCGATTAACCAGACTATTGAAACAATCAATATCACCAACCAGTCTCTTAGAAACGTCTCTGCCCCGTGAGGATCCGGACTAGAATAGGTCTTCAGCAACCCATGCTAATCACAAGAGACGACGATGCTTGCCAAAAGAGGCGACTTGGTTGATGCATGTCATCGTATCCCAATTGTGTGGATCGATGCTCATGATATCTATTACTGGATTGTCTGGTCGATTATTTACAGACCACCGTCATATGGCTGGAATATTGCTGAGTGCAACGTCACACAACAAAAAACAAATATGACGCTTAATACCACTGAACGGGTAGGTGTGAACGTGTTGTCATGTTGGTGTGTTGGTGAGAATGACCGAGGCTGGGGTGTTTCTGAACCGTGAATTACCGAGGTTTCATTGTCCAAACTATACTCTTGTCAAATGAAACATAACGAAACACGATTTTAAATAATCCAATATTTTGATGAAACCTACGAAGATGTTATGTCAAATCCCTTTAAAAGTAGTGCAGAAGACTACGAAAGAGAGGACAGCTTGCCGAAACGCAGGAAAACGAGATAAGCGTGCATTGTAAGGGAACTAAAAGAAGTCATGTGTCAGTATATGTTTCGAACATGGATTTGAATATGGAGAATATGGTTTGTTGTCCCGAACTATGCACCAGATTCAAACTCCTTTGGGGTTTGAGGAGAGTGACTTAGTAGTCTCAAGTTGCCAACATTTGGGACGAAACCTGGAAATGGAAGGCGATCGATTTTTAGAATGTTTCGTTCTTATTTGGAATGATGATGACTTTATTCCACGTCCACTGAAACGTCGGGATAAACACGCGGGTAAGTGAAGTGTGAAACTGGTTTAATCTTTTTAGATATCAGCTTAGGAAATGTCCCCAAGGAAATGATCGAACAAGTCAACCAATGACCAATGATGCTTTTTCAAGACCAACCGCTCGACGAAAATGTTTTTATCTTTTCTCCAAAATCCATGACCCGTGAAGATCCGGGTAAGAATCAGTCTTCAGCAACCCATATGCTTGTCGTTAGAGGCGACTCACGGAATCGGGGGTCAGGCTCGCTGATACATATTATTGCACTCAGTAACGTGGTTGGATGCTCGTGTCAGTCACTGGATTGTCTGGTCCAGACCGCCGTCATATAGCTGAAGTACTGCTGATTGCGGCGTTAAACAACAAGCAAACGAGTAAAATTCAGTCTTGTTAATAAAAAAAGACTCGGTTCATGACGCTGAAAATTTCATTGTACGGGTTATTATGGAATATCGAGGACTACCCTGAACCACAAACACGAGTTTCACGTGCTTACACATAGCTCGTATACCTGTCAGTGTTGGCAAGGTATCAATCAATGTCAAGAGATTATGCACCTTCCACCCGGCCGCGTGGTGTAATGGCTTGTTTTTTAATTTGAATGAAATATTCCGATTTATAAAGCTCAAAGTTCTTAATAGAGTAACAGTTAAAAGCGTTGGCATGAAATTACTTGTAAATTTTAAGATAGGAATTATTTTTAAAATCTGTTTTTACAAACGAAAGGAAAATCATAGTATGTGTGTTCATCAATTTTACGAAGTGTAAGTACTATATCTGTTATCCTGATTATCAACGCAAAAAAACTGCAGAAAAACGTAAAATGTTACGAACACATTTCAGAGGACACTTTGAAATTTGTTTCCAACTATGATTCTTGCTCAGAAGAATATACTTCCGGTGAGTAATAAGTTAATATACTGAACCGCAAAAGAAACGTCACCACAAGTAACATTGCATGAAAAGTTGTCATATAAATATCTGGGTAATTTTTGTCAAAGTTTCTAAACTTTAACATTACCTTGTCCGGAGAAATGAAATTTGATGATAAAAAAACAAAGCAGGTGACAATAAAGTCGGTCGCCCAAACGCATCACGGCAACGGCTATGGTAACCCGATGCACGTGAGTTCCATGCAAATTGAAATGCACATGCGTTCCCCCATTTCTTGCCCTATAAAATTCCACCCAGATCTGATAACATTCATTCGTTTTTGAATTGCTACCACATGCCAGGATTGACAGGAAATCAGCGACACCAAGCCCTTGGACGATTGCAAGCTGGACAAACCGCCCGGCAAGTAGCCAATGCATTACAAGTCTACGTAAGGACAATATACAGGCTCCAGCAACGGTAGCAGACCACCAACACAACAGATGACCGACCACGTAGTGAAAGACCAAGGGTCAACACCCGACGCCAGGATCGTCAGATTGTGCGACAGCATCTTCCAGATCGCATTTTACTGCTGCGGAAACTGCTCGACAGACCATGGGGACACACCAGCGACACATTAGTGCGGACACCGTGCGTCGACTATTGACGAGCAGACACCTCCACTGTCACAGGCCACACCGAGGACCTATTCTGACACCACGTCATCGCCGGGACCGTCTTCAGTTGGCAACACCAGCCACCAGCAGTGGAGAAGAGTCCTCTTCTCGGACGAGAGTCGTTACTGTATCTCAACAGTAGATGGCAGAGAAAGAGTCTGGCGACGCCATGAGGAACGTTATTCGGATGCTTGTGTTGTTGGGAGAGACTCGTGGGGAGCATCATGGTGTGGGGTGGAATTGGTCTTGCACAGAGCGTCGGCCCTGTGGTCTTCCAGAACATCTGTCCAGGGAGAGGCAATGGTGTCACAGCAGCTCGGTACATTGATCAAGTCTTGAGACCACACGCCATACCTCATTTGGCACGTCGCCTCAACCACGAGTTTCAGCATGATAACGCCCGTTCCCACACTGTGAGAGCAACAAGAGACATCTTCAGCAGAATGGCATCAGAACCATGCAGTGGCATGCCCTTAGTCCCGATTTAAATCCCATTGAGCACCTGTGGGACGAGATTCAAAGACCGCTGAATGACGTCCGACCAAGGCCGACAACTGCAGCTGAACTGCATTAGGCGTTCCTCATAATGTGGGCTTAAGTGCCTATGGCCTTCATCAACCGCCTCATCCATTTCATGTATCGACGTTGCACGACAGCCATCAATGCACATGGCGGACACACGACATACTGACTTGTGATACCATTTTCTCAGAGACTGTGTTATGTTTCACTTTAAGGACATTTGACACTTTAATTGCAACCTTGATGATCAGTTTTGCCAAGTTTCATCTTTTTAATAGACCTCAAAGTATGTTTACAGTGTTTGGACAAAAAAGGTTTCTTATATATGTATCCATGGTGACGTTTCTTTTGCTGTTCAGTATATATTTATTGCCTTTACGTTTTTGCCTTAATGGTTGTACGGGGATGAAATACCTCGAATGAACTTACTTGACAATCGTCTCAGCAGCATGATGTTATGTCTGACAATAAAGTTGAAGTCTTTTGGGTTGTAAGCTTGTGTCATTGTTGAGCGTATTCTGCGATCGATGAGTGAAGTTATTGCATGTAGCTTGATGAGTGAGGTTATTACGTGTAGACTGATAAGTGAGGTTATTGCGTGTGGATTGATGAGTGAGGTTATTGCGTGTAGGTCGATGAGTGAGGTTATTGCGTGTAGATCGATGAGTGAGGATATTGCGTGTAGATGGATGAGTGAGGTTATTGCGTGTAGATCGATGAACGAGGTTATTGCGTGTAGATCGATGAGTAAGGTTATTGCGTGTAGATGGATGAGTGAGGTTACAGCGTGTAGATGGATGAGTGAGGTTATTGCGTGTAGATGGATGAGTGAGGCTACAGCGTGTAGATCGATAAGTGAGGTTATTTCGTGTAGATCGATGAGTGAGGTAATTGCGTGTAGATCGATGAGTGAGGTTATTGCGTGTAGATGGATGAGTGAGGCTACAGCGTGTAGATCGATAAGTGAGGTTATTTCGTGTAGATCGATGAGTGAGGTAATTGCGTGTAGATCGATGAGTGAGGTTATTGCGTGGAGATCGATGAGTGAGGTTACAGCGTGTAGATAGATGAGTGAGGTTATTGCGTGTAGAAGGATGAGTGAGGTAATTGCGTGTAGATCGATGAGTGAGGTTATTGCGTGTAGATGGATGAGTGGGGTTATTGCGTGTAGATGGATGAGTGAGGTTATTGCGTGTAGATCGATGAGTGAGGTTATTGCGTGTAGAAGGATGAGTGAGGTTATTGCGTGTAGATCGATGAGTGAGGTTATTGCGTGTAGATTGATGAGTGGGGTTATTGCGTGTAGATGGATGAGTGGGGTTATTGCGTGTAGATCGATGAGTGGGGTTATTGCGTGTAGATCGATGAGTGAGGTTATTGCGTGTAGATCGATGAGTGAGGTTATTGCGTGTAGATGGATGAGTGAGGTTATTGCGTGTAGATGGATGAGTGAGGTTATTGCGTGTAGATCGATGAGTGAGGTAATTGCGTGTAAATCGATGAGTGAGGTTATTGCGTGTAGATCGATGAGTGAGGTTATTGCATGTAGATGGATGAGTGAGGTTATTGCGTGTAGGTCGATGAGTGAGGTTATTGCGTGTAGATCGATGAGTGAGGTTATTGCGTGTAGATGGATGAGTGAGGTTATTGCGTGTAGATGGATGAGTGAGGTTATTGCGTGTAGATGGATGAGTGAGGTTATTGCGTGTAGATCGATGAGTGAGGTTATTGCGTGTAGATGGATGAGTGAGGTTATTGCGTGTAGATGGATGAGTGAGGCTACAGCGTGTAGATCGATGAGTGAGGTTATTGCGTGTAGATCGATGAGTGAGGCTACAGCGTGTAGATCGATAAGTGAGGTTATTTCGTGTAGATCGATGAGTGAGGTAATTGCGTGTAGATCGATGAGTGAGGTAATTGCGTGTAGATGGATGAGTGGGGTTATTGCGTGTAGATCGATGAGTGAGGTTATTGCGTGTAGATCGTTGAGTGAGGTTATTGCGTGTAGAAGGATGAGTGAGGTTATTGCGTGTAGATCGATGAGTGTGGTTATTGCCTGCAGATGGATGAGTGAGGATATTGCTGTGCAGAGTTGCGTCCCTTCGGCACACGAGAAACCTATGATCGGTTCGCCCGATTATGTTCCTTCCGTTAATCATATGCCAACTCGTGTAAATAAATATAGGCAAAAGCCGATTTAGTGTTTTCAGGAGTTGTCTCCCTTATACCACAGCTTCGTTTTAAAAGTTGAAAGCGTCAATACGAGCGTAACCGGGATATTGCGACTCGTGCATAAAACTCCACAATTTGCCCTACTTTGAAAATAGATATTTCAACATACATTGTTGAAAGCGTCTAACCGATCGTATCTTGTCCCACCAAAGTATACGTTGATAATTGTTTGTAATATCCGTATTTTCATGAAATGTACTCAGTTAAACTAGGCAGATAATTGCTGTTAACACTTGTTATATATCAGAGGGCACGGTATGAGGCGCTACAATTTACTGTATGGCGTCCCATACTCGTCAGTCGTGATGCCATCGAAGCCCCCAGTTTCTGTTTGTCAGTCTCACCGATCCTGTTTAGTTTGTTGTGTGGATCGATGCTCATGATGTCGATCACTGGATTGTCTTGTTCAGACCACAAAATCTGTGATACATTTACTATGATAATTAAAAATATGTACATATAAAGAACTCATTGAGGTCCGGGCATGTACACTCACTCACTCATCCTTCAATTGAGTGTGCTGTTCATGTTACCAAGTTGTACGAATAAAACAAACATACTTTGTGATATTATTTTTGATAAACTTGATTACTTTGTGATATAATTGTGTTATATTACAGGCATAGTCATAACTAGACAAACTTCATTGCAAAATGAGCGTGTGGAGATATACTTATGTTATATATGCCTGTGAAGATCCGGGGTAGAATAGATCTTTAGCATCCCATGCTTCCCTTGAAAGGCGACTATGCTTGTCGTAAGAAGCGAGTAACGGGATCGGGTGGTCAGGCTTGCTGTCTTGGTTGATGCATGTCATCGTATCCCAACTGCGTAGATCCCTGCTCATGATGTCAGTCACTAGATTGTCTGGTCTATACACGATTATTTACAGACCGCAGTCATATAGCGGAAATATTGCGTGTTGAGGCGTTAAACAACAACATATTACAAATACTTAAACTTTAATTCTACATTTTCAGATGGTTTGCCGACATCGTTCCGGAAGGTTCTCCGTGTGTCTCTGTGTGGCTGGTTTAACACTGTTTATATTACTTCTGATCACCAGATTGTCTGATCATGATCTGACCATCCACCACATTGTCGAGATTGATGGTGAACTACCACCCTTGGTTTTTTACCCTGACCACATTGGACCATTCTTTCTTTCCCCCGTGCTATCCAGACCCAATGGCGAATACCGGGCGAAGGTTTTATACAACATAGATGTTCATGAAGATGAGGAGGAATTAAAACAATTTAAATATTCAGTAAAGAAACGAATCGTCTTTCTTGATGCACCATCTTGGATATCGGCAACGGATATTGAAAAAGGTCTCGGCGCATGCGCAAAACAGGCTTGTGAAATATCAGAAGATGTTCTCTCAGCAGATGCTGTGGTATTTGATCTGTTGACCTTACGTGGTGTGAAACCTCCTAATAAACCGAGCCACCAGTCGTGGGTGCTCTTAAGCCTCCATCCACCAAGGCAGTATGATTTTTCCGATGTTCTGACACTGTGGAACGACAAATTCAATTGGACAATGTCCTATCGCCTTGATTCGGACATCGTGATACCAAGTAACGTTCTGTTTTATAATCCCACTAAAAAGAAAGATTTCGGAGATATGTTCCAACGCAAAACGGGACAAGTATTATGGGTGACAAATGACTGTAATACTCCATCGATGAGAGAAAGGTACGTAGAGCAACTTCGTCGACACATTACCGTCGATGTTTACGCTGCATGTAGTGAATCAAATGCATCTCATGCTGGATTAACCAACTTCATGACGTTACAACAAAAGTACAAATTTTACCTGGCGTTCGAAAAAGATTTATGTGTTGATTATATCACAGACGAACTTTTCCAGACTTTCCACACCGACATTATCCCGGTTGTGAGGGGAGGGGCACAATACGGCACCCTGTTTCCTCACGGCACCTATATCAACACGGCCGACTACGCTGGACCTGCCGATCTTGCTCGGTACCTACTCAGTCTCGAGACGAATTTGACAGAGTATGTACATCTTCTTAAACGCAAATCACTTTTTCAGTTGTCCAGCAAATTGACTACATTACAATCGGGGTTTTGTGACTTGTGCATAAAACTCCACAATTTGCCCTACTTTGAAAATAGATACTCTAACATACATAAATGGATGACAGACCGAATTTGTGAAAATCCCTCAGATTTGTAAAAGATCTCATAATTGTGTAACACTCGTCATTTATATGCGCCATTGAATAATCATTGAACAGTTCACCGTCTACATTAAACGTTGATGGTTACAGGACAGGTGTTCAGAAATGGCAAAACTGCACAGCTATTAACCTTGCTGAATAAATACAGCGAAATGACACTACACATGTATTGGTAAACGATCACATGTATTCGTAAATGGTCATACTGCACCGTTATTGATAAATAATCTTAACTGATAAATAATCACACCAAACATGTATTGAGAAATGATCATACTAAACATGTATTGAGACATGATCATACTAAACATGTATTGAGAAATAATCACACTAAACATGTATTGAGAAATGATGTTAATAAATAGGCGTTGAGGAATAATCACGCTACACATATATGGTAAATGGTCATAATGCACATGTATTGATAAATGATCACACAAAACATGCATTGATATTTGATCATGCTGAACATGTATTGATAAAGGTGAGGTGAAATGGGGTTTAACGACCTCTTCAAGATTATTGCACTTATATAGCGACATGCATGCACACACACGTATGTGTGCGTGCATGCGTGCGTGTGTGGGTGTGTGCATGCGTGTGGGTGTGCATGCGTGTGTGTGTGTGCTTGTACTAGTCGATTACCACGGAGGCGGGCAGGTATTGATAAGTATTATAATGCACATTATTGAGAAATAATCATACCAAACCTTTATTGGTAAATGATCACCAGCACATATTGATAAATAATTATGGTAAACTTGTATTGAGAAAGGATCCTATTGCAATAGTTTCCCTTATTTCGGTACAACGTTGAACTGTACTGACGGGGAAGTGGGATATAACTCTGTTGTATCCGGCACAACACCTGTAGCATCGGTTGTAAACAAACTGTTCCCAGCATTCACGTTATTTAAAACCCCCAAGAAAAACAATTGACATATATGACTTACATATAGCATTCTATAGAGATGGGGGAAGATACTGGGGTTTGAACTCTCAGTCGCCGAGCTCCTTCCCCGTTTTTGGCATACGTTCCTACCACTTTCCACTCCTTGCCGCGAACACCCGGTGTCATGACTCAATTCCAGTGGTCCATTCATATAATATCACAGCTTCTTTGCCCTGAAAGCCAAATGGAATTTATTTCAGCGGATAATCTGGACTGGTCATTCTCTGGCATTGACAATTTATATTCCATACATGAATGTGCACACTCTCATACATGAGTTCCGCTACTCCGAGAATATCATCTTAGATTAACTTTCTATAACGGGAAAACTACTGGCGAAGTCTCAGACAGGGGGCTGTAATGCCAGAACACATTCCTATTGCACCGCAAGTCAATTAAGATACGAATCATTCAGACATTATAGACGATTGCAATACTAAATTTATACCATATAGATACGTATCACATACAACGAAAATAAACCTTATTACGTTGATGCAGGAACTAGAAAAACATGTAGTCTACATTCACAGAACCTCGCCTGACATATCGTTTACCAATGCGCGGTTCTCACTTGCAGCTTGTTCAGACACGATGTGTGAGGTCTGACAAACGCTGCAGTATGTGACATTAGAATGACCCAAGTTGGTCAAAAGTTAATTACATTTACGGATGATGACGCGATAGTTCTATTTTCATCAGAAGCCCAATCAAATGGACAATACATTGTCTTTATTTCTTCCGAGCATAATTGGTCTAACAACGCTTGGTTTGTATCGAAGCTTATTGAATCACAGTAACGTAACACATTCCTGATATATCAATGTATTTCTTTCCTTGAACTGAAGTTTTTATTCCATCTGATATGACTTTATAAAAAAACTTAATCAAATAGTTTGGAGAACGGCGCCACTTTTGATGTGGATGTTAACATAATCAGTAATATATTGATACATATTGATAAATGACAACACTCTTTAAACGAATCTGATATTTACTATTGCAAACGCATTACATATAGATAAGTCAAGCACACTGCTAACATAATAAAACAGCATCCTTTAATAACATGGCACTATCTATCAAGTATGGAATATATATGCTATATATTGCATAGTGAATGATCGAAGTGATTTCTTTTTAAATCAGTCAAATATTCTGTTTCAAATTCTTGACATAGAATTATGAAGTTTCAAGCCAAGCCCATATCGATGGCATTGTTGGTTTTGTAATATATTCTGGTGTGTTTGATCTGACGAGGAATTACATCGTTTTGTGTGTTGTTTCTTCCTTTCTTTATGTTTTACGCTGCAGTTCGCAATATTACAGCTATACCATGGCGGTCTGTTAATAATAACGCCTGGTCTGGGCCAGTGGATAGTGGCATTATAAACATCCCATGCATTTGAGACGCGATGCACACAATCACTCACGTCAAGAGCCTGATCACACGAAATGGCATGATCACGTTGTCTGCATTTGGTGGCGCGATGGCACACAGTCAGAGAAGTCAAAGAGCCTGACAAACCGATCCAGGGGACTTCTTCTGACTCAGATCTCCCGCAGGATCCCATGGATGAGTCCAATTATATGAAATAGGTGAGATGAAGTAGGGTTTAACGTCGCGTTCAAAATAACTGCACTTATATTACGACGTGAATGCATGTGTGTGTTGCTGCTTGAACGAATCCAGACTTATAATCACTCGTATGCCGGATTTATAGTGCTAGCCTACTGAGATACCATGTCGCAATTTAACATGGATACTCAGACACATTATACTGACTACAAGCCGACCACTCCTTGTTTTATTCCCTTAATGCCGAACGTCATGCAGGGAAACAACAAGTATCATCTTTTGACGTATTGTGCTATGACGCGGCCAGGGGATCAAACCCCAGCTTTCTGTTTTCCGGGTAGGCGCTCTATCCACTAGACCACGAAAGCGGTCTCAAATCAAAAGGAGGAAGTGATGAATATGAATGAAATTACAAATTTGTGTCATCTTCGAGGCAAGCAGCAGTACGGATAACAATGTCCGTAAAAATTAGACTTTTCGTGAAATCACAACACAGTTATTTATCGATGTTTCATTCAGTCCCAAGGCAATCCATATTATATATATGTATGTTACTCCCCTCCATTCTAAGCTTCAGCGGGAGCTGCCAGACAATAACCAAATGAAAATTATCTGCCTTATATTAAAAATATGATTGTTACTATATCTGGTATTATTTCATCGTTAATGTGCTATAATCGAAGTGCAACAGTTGTAGCATCGGAGCTTTTAAGTGAATTCTTTAAACAGTATTTCAGTTACAGACAGTAATGTGGAAGGAAAGCCCGAAGCATTGTCGATTACTACTTCGGTGAAACCAACCAGCACGGGTATGGTACTGACAAAGCTAGAAACATAATCAGGGTAAACCTGGATTCGATCAAGGGTTCCTAGCACACCTTGTGGATGAAACACGGTACAGCTATTTGCGGCGCCTTAGACGACTGAGCCACCCATACCGCCTCCGTGGTCTAGTGGTAGAGCGTCCGCCCGTACCGCCTCCGTGGTCTAGTGGTAGAGCGTCCACCCATACCGCCTCCGTGGTCTAGTGGTAGAGCGTCCGCCCGGAGACCGCCTCCGTGGTCTAGTGGTAGAGCGTCCGCCCATACCGCCTCCGTGGTCTAGTGGTAGAGCGTCCGCGCGGAGACCGCCTCCGTGATCTAGTGGTAGAGCGTCCGCCCGGAGACCGCCTCCGTGATCTAGTGGTAGAGCGTCCGCCCATACCACCTCCGTGGTCTAGTGGTAGAGCGTCCGCCCATACCGCCTCCGTGGTCTAGTGGTAGAGCGTCCACCCATACCGCCTCCGTGGTCTAGTGGTAGAGCGTCCGCCCGGAGACCGCCTCCGTGGTCTAGTGGTAGAGCGTCCGCCCATACCGCCTCCGTGGTCTAGTGGTAGAGCGTCCGCGCGGAGACCGCCTCCGTGATCTAGTGGTAGAGCGTCCGCCCGGAGACCGCCTCCGTGATCTAGTGGTAGAGCGTCCGCCCATACCACCTCCGTGGTCTAGTGGTAGAGCGTCCGCCCATACCGCCTCCGTGGTCTAGTGGTAGAGCGTCTGCCAATACCGCCTCCGTGGTCTAGTGGTAGGGCGTCCGCCCATACCGCCTCCGTGGTCTAGTGGTAGAGCGTCCGCCCATACCGCCTCCGTGGTCTAGTGGTAGAGCGTCCGCCCATACCGCCTCCGTGGTCTAGTGGTAGAGCGTCAGGGGAGAGAAAGGTTGGGTGCACGATCCCCGGCCGTTTCATGCCAACAGACGTTAAAAGATGGTACTTGTTGTGACCCTGCCTGGCGATCGGCATTAGGAAGATTAAACAAGGACTGGTCGAGTCGGAGTCAGTATACTGTGTCTGAATGGGATATTTATGTTAAACTGCGGCATGATACCTCAAGGGATTAGTACAATAATCTTGGCATTAGTCCGTACTCGTACAAGCAGACACACACACAAACGCACGCACGCACACACGCACGCACGCGCACACACGCACGCACGCGCACACACACACACGCACACGCGCACGCGCAAACACACACACACACACACACACACACACACACACACACACACGCATGCACGCACACACACACGAGAAGTTAAACCCAATTACAACTCACCTCACCAGATCCACCCCTTTCCCCCTGAGAGCGTGCATGAGAACGAAATAAAATGCATAGGAATCATTTTACTTATTACTACATAATACAAGGAGGAAACGGGGAATACGTCACTCTTCCTCTTCCAAGGAGTGGTGACATATAGTCAAGCGGGCAAATGGAGAGGAGCAGGACTCTCTCTCTCTCTCTCTCTCTCTCTCTCTCTCTCTCTCTCTCTCTCTCTCTCTCTCTCTCTCTCTCTCTCTCTCTCTCTGCCGCCTCCGTGGTCTTGTGGTAGAGCGTCCGCCCGGAGAGCGGAAGGTCCGGGGTTCGATCCCCGGCCGCGTCATACCAAAAGACGTTAAAAGATGGTACTTGTTGTTACCCTGTCTGGCGCTCGACATTAAGGGGCTAAAACAAGGACTGGTCGGCTCGGTGTCAGTATACTGTGTCTGAGTGGGGAATTCGTGTTAAACTGCGGCATGGTATCTCAGTGACCTAGCACTATAAATCGGCATCAGTCCGGACTAGTACAAGCAGCCACACACACACATACACGTGCATGCACGTCGCTATATAAGTGCAATAATCTTGGACGCGACGTTAAACCCAATTTCACCTCACCTCACCTCTCTCCCTC